ACTTGATTATTTTACAGTTTAAAATACATTATGATGTCTGGTTTATCTATTTTATGGTTTTAAATGTATGAATCACTACTTACTTCACTACTGTTTTGATTTTGAGAATCTAAGATTTGCTTGCTTTATTGGATGCACGTTACTTGTTTATGTAGTTATATTTGAGTTGGTAACGGAGACTAAGGACAAATAGAAATGAGATGTGATTTGAAAAATGGATAAGATGACAGCCTCACTAGATATCCTATGAGATAATGGACGGACCGGGTTCATAGGGAACCCTACCGTGAACGTTGTCTCATACCGGTTGGGGTATGGAGACTTGGTCATTTGGCACTCATACCAAACAGGGTATGGGGAACGGTCCGCTTCACCCTCATACCGGATGGGGTATTGAGGTTTATTATTTTGGCGCTCATACCAGATGGGGTATGGGGATGGCCATGTAATTAAAATTGTTTAAAGGGAATAGTTCACGTATAGCGGGGACTCCTATGGATCCCTATGGATATTAGTAGGCTGGTGAAAAATGAGAAACAGTGATAGTCAGTTATTGTTAATAAATGCGGGTTTATGATGTGTTTTATATTACTGATTATGGATGAATTGTGATCTGTATGATGTTATTGTTTTTATAGACTGTTTTCACAGGTTCTCCAATGGTAAAAAAAAAAAGATAAGTGATTTTATATTAAATAACTGTATTGGTTTAAAATTTGTGCTTCATTGGTTGTTTTCGGTTTTCTACCAACCTTTGCTTTTGTGACGGTAATATAGTGTGATATCCTTACTGGGCTAGTGTAGCTCATTTCTTATTTAACCATTTCAGATCAGGAGGACCTAGTTCCGTAGTCCGATCCACAAGAAAATGGCGAGTAGATGCTAGACACTTTATAGTTTCTTTTATTTTTTTCATTTCTCGTATTTCTTTTAGAGAACTTATTATGTAATATTGTTTAGTACTTTAAGTTATTGTGTAAGAGGATATTAACCTTAATCTTTTATTTCGCTTCCGCACTCAGATTATTATATGTATTCCTTTTGAATTTTTGGGGCAGTTAAATTGAGACTTGGTAATTTGGCGCTCATACCAGACGGGGTATGAGGACGACCCATTTTACCCTCATACCGGATAAGATATTGAGATTTAGTAATTTGGTGCTCATACCAGACGGGGTATGAGGGCGGTCTGTTAATTGAAAATGTTAAAAAAAAGGTTCACGCATTGTGGGAACATCCCTATGAACTCCCATGGATACTAATAGGCTGATAAAAGAGAAAATTGTTGTTCCAACTAATTGCATATAAAATCGTGATATGTGTTATGTTATTGTCTCTATAAGTTATTTTATAAATCTCGCTACGGTAAGTAGACGGTAAATGATTTTGTTTATGATAAATGAATTTGCTTAATTAAGAGCTCCATTAGTTGTTTTAATTTTTCTACCAATATTTAATTCTGTGTCAGTGAGTAGTGTGATATTTTTACTGATCTAGTATAACTCATTCCTTTATTAACTATTTTAGATCGAGAGGACTAAAATCTAGAGCTCGATTCACAAAAGAGTTGCGAGTAGGATGCTAGTTTTATTTATTTTCTATTTATTTCCTTAATTTTTTATATTTCCTTCAAAATGATAATTCTTGTAACACTATTTGATACTTTAAGTTATTGCGTAAGGAATGTAAACCCTAACTAATTTATTTCCTTTGGTATTTCTGGGTTGTTACATCCCTCTTTCTAATTATTTTCCTAGTTTAACATGACAAGATGACTTGACTTCTTGTCAACACCAATATCTATCGTTAAAGCTGCTCCAATCATCTCCAAGTCTAGTACGATTCAAATATGGTATAAGGAGTGGAGCAACACAATGTGGAGAACAATGTAGGATTTGATAGAATGAGGGTCGATGTTGTCATAGTCGCGAAGGTTAGAGGCAATGAAGTAATAACCGAGAACTGAGAGAACAAAAAGCTAATGGCTCTAAATATACCAAAGCTCGAGAAAGCCATGGATAAATATAGTGACTAGAGATGCATTTTTGGGATTTGAGAATTTTTTTTTATTTAGTTCAATTTAGACATATCACATTAAAATAAATATTATATCAACTATCATACAATCTTTGATATTGCATTCGACTAACCCTCATACAAATAAAAATGTATTACGTATCAATAAATTTAACACATAACACCTCAATATAATAATGTTAACTTATGTTAAAATTGAATATTAAATTAAAAATTTTCTAAAAATATATAAACTAATTTTGCTAAAAGAAAATATTATATGAATTAAATCATTATTTTAACCTACATATTTATTATGATTATGGAGGTTTATAAACTTCATAATTTGGTTCATTTATGAATTAAAAAAGGAATTAAATTACAAAATAATGTGTTGCTAGAGATGATTAGTGGCTACTAATAAAACAGTGAATTTGGTAGTGTTTTATTTTACTTAATTGTTTAATGAGAAAATTATTATTTATAAGAGTTTACTTTTTTTTTTTTTTACAAATTATTACAACCATGGAAGTTATATATATTATGAGGGGTGGAGGATTTTTATTAATAATCTTTATAAGTAATAGATAAAAATTTATTGATGTAAATGTAAAAGTCATATGTGTCAAAATAAAGATTATTGGAGAAATTAATAATCTCAATAAACTAAGATTAGTTCATACCGAGTTAAATATAAAAAAGATAAATGATATATAAACATATATAATACGGGTCATGATCATTACTAATACATAACTTGTTCTATGAATATGATACAATGTGACACACTATATAAAACTAGTTTCACATTTTTTAATGTTAGAAATATATTTTTAATATCTTAATTGCCTTATATTAATAATATATATATATATGAGTTATGGATATGTGTCTCAACTTATACCCTCATCCAAAATATATATATATATATATATGTAACGTGCATAAGTATACATACAACTACTTTCTTTTACGTCAAGAAGGAATAAAAAATTAACACAACACTCTTTCACGTCTTTACAACGAACTTGACTTGTAAATTTGTTCATAATAATAAAATTTCCATGCACGTTTCCACTACTTGGAAAGAGTCGTAAGGAATATAATTTTTTCACAATGTGAAACAAAATGAACTTCAGCCCTTCAAAAAAAAAATTTCAGGCTTCTTGCTGTTCGACCTTTGAAATCAAACAGTTTACGATTACAAACTTTACTTCATCTTCATCGACCTTCTAGGGTTTGTTTTGAGAAGAAATTAGGTATTATTTACCAGCTGTTCCAGTAATAGGATACCCAATTCCATGTCTCCTCGTCGGAAAAGCCACAAACAATAGACTGCAAATCAGGCCAACTCCAATCGGAGCAACACTCAGTATCTCCTCCGTTTCATGCTCCGTCGTCGGGTAAAAGCAACTCACCACATTCTTATCTCTCACCGCCATTACCCCAAACACAATAACCGACAAAACTCCGTGCACCCAGTCAATAACCCGAACTCGGTACTTCCTCAAGTCCGGGAGATCCGAACCCGACGGGTCATCCGGATAATCAAACAGCCAAAGCCCATTCGCGGTGGCGAATCCGTAGTAGACCTGTCCGTCGACCGTTGACTTTACGCTGTCCGTGAAGGAGGCGAGGAAGCAGGAGAGAGCGAGGAGGGCGAGAAGGAGGAAAGTCATGGATCGCGTGACGGAGTCGCAGGATCCGTTGTTGGTGAAAGTAGGGGTGAGGAGCTGGAAAGCCATGAGAGTTCCCGTGGGAAGGAGATTGGCGAGGTTTGCGGTGCTGGTCAGGGTTTGGGAAATGGCTCTCCGGGTCAGAGACGGCGGAGGTGTTGGAGATTTGGGAGTTTCCGGGCCCTCCGGTTCCTTGTCGCTGCTACTTGAGCTACTTAAACTGGTTGACGGTTCCGTTGTTCTCAGCCGGAGCGACGTCATTTCTTCCTGTAAATTTGGAGTCTTGGAGAAAACAAATCTGATATTGGCAATGGTTGAAAATTGGATTTTAATTTGTGAGAAGTGAGATTATATAGCGATGGATCACTTGCCTTCAAAGTTATAAACGACATTATTTATTTCTTCAACGCGTTACGTTACAAAGAGTATTATTTTTTTTCCTCTTTAAATAATTTTGAACCCTTTTTTAATTTATATTAATTACTGGAATTATTATATATAAGACCATATAATTTTTTTTTTTTTAAAAAATTTAAACATTTATGGCCCATGTCTTCATTTACAACTGGATATATTTTATTGTATTCATTTTTATTTATATAAAATATTAGGTCTAATTAATTAAAAATTAAAATAATTGTAAAATAATACTTCCCAATTTCTTTTTCTCTTCTTTTTTTTTTTTCTATTTA